TAAGGCCGCGTACACACTGAGGTACATTGTTGCGTCACATTCTCTCTGGACTGTATCTCGGCTGTCTCAGAAAAATACAAATTTGTCGAGTGACTGTCTCGCAACAGTCCAGAAACACTGTCTCAGGACCTCATACACACCAAGATACTTTATCCAGAAACAGTCGCGCAACAATGTTTCTATTCTGTTGCGCGACTGTCTCAGAAAAACCTAAATTTGTTGCGTGACTGTCTTGCAACAGTCCAGAAACACGATTTCAGATGTTTGATGTTTCCCATCCCATATGGGAAATATTTTAATAAACTTACATTTACAAATTCCTTCAGGGCATCAATGAGACCGTCACACACTTCCGGAACGATGGCAGATATTGACTGTATTGACACTTTGAAGGCACAGTATAAATGAGTCCTCACTGGCAAGATACCTTAATGTTACTGCTAGGTGCATTTTGACAGGGATTGAGGCTCGATAGTTTGTACCTGTATATTGCTTTCAGTTATATTTCAAAATTTGAAGCTGCTGTTCTTAAAACGTTTCTAAATCCAGCTGTATCTTCTATTTTCAGGTCTGTCATTAGTTTTTCTCCACACATTCTTTCGTCAAAAAATTTCGTCATCCACCATCGTCTAGGTCTTTTCCTTGCTCTCCGCCTTCTTTCTTCTAAGGAAATAACAACATAGGCACCCGCCACAGCTGCCACGTTTGCATCCACCGACATGACGACATCTACTGCTCTAACCGCCAATTCATCGCTCTAGCTTGGTCTGGACATGCAACAATGTTTCTAGACTGTCTCGCGACTGTTGTGAAACAACCGCGAGACAGTTCTGCAACAAAGTTTACTGATTGTTTCTGGACTGTTTTGCAACAGTTGCTAGACAGCCAAAATTTTTTTTGCCATGTCTCCCAAGTGATTCTGGACTGCCTCATGACCATTTCTGGATTGTCTTGCAACAGTCCAGAAACACTGTGGCGCGACTGTTTCTGTACAATGTATCTTGGTGTGTACGAGGTTTAAGGTTAGATATATTTCTTTGGTTAGTTAGGTCAGGTTCTATTAGGTTCTGGTAAATGACACCTCTTTTAAAATACTTACTATAATAATAAGAACATCTGTGGGAAAAATGAAAGAAATCGAACAACTCCTTCTGGTGGTAGCGGTGTGAGAGTACTCGGATCGAGTGGGTTGATTGTAAACAAACAGACAGCACACAGTGACTAGGCATATTTTTCGGAGGAGTATTTATGATAATCATTGAGGGCTTACCCGCAGCCAAATTTTCATAGAAAATTATTTTAAAAACTCCGCAATTTCACTGTTTTATAGGGGACAATCGTGGTTTTGGCAAATGTGTTAAATAGTAATTATTTATAAATGAAACCTAACGTAACCTTAGTTGATAAGAATAACACGCAGTAGAAGTGTTGTTAGAAGACCTCACCAACCTGCCTAACCTTACCTACCGGTAATTTCCTAGCAGGGCTCTCGAACCACCCAGCATTTTAAACAAAAACAACAGTATTATTTCACCTGTTGCCACTGAACGAATCTCTGGAATTTTATAGTTGTAATCAGGAATTTTTTGTAATTCAAAGACTTTTCTTCAATGGCATTCCTGGGGCAAATTACGTATAAACGAGATAATTAAAATTTTTTATGATGTATGAAAATTGACCTTTCACCTGCTGCCACTAAAAGAATCTCAGAAATTTTATAGCCGCAATCGGCAATTTTGACAATTCTAAGACAATTCTCTTCAATGGCATTTCTGGCGCAAATTACGTTTAAGCACGATATTTAACATTTCATTTTGTATGTTCGCCCGTGGCGGTACACACCCAGAACATCGAACAACTGTAGAGCCCCCCAGTTAGGTTAGATTCAAAACTATTTTTCAGATGGTTATGATGTGTTTTTAACACTTTTTACCTTGATTTTTATAGCAAATCTCTAGATTCTGAGATGGGAGCTTATCTCAGAAACTATTGATTTGCACCAGAAATGAAGGTCAAATTTGTTCATGACATCAAAAAACAGTCGGAAAAACAGTTTCATCTTCGATTTCGAATAGTGGCAACAAGAGAAAATTTACCAAAACAACTTCTTATGATAGAAATTCACATAAGCGCAGCCGCCCCTAGATGAGCAAAATACCAGAAGGGGGTGTAGATCTTAGAAATTTACTGGTTTTTAATCGCCTGGCAGGCAACTAGCATGTCATTCTCGCAGTGTCTAAGAGCTATCCAGTAGTTCTGAAATTTTTTATATATTTTTGACAGTCTGCTTTACCACAAGGAAGTGCTTAGTGCCCAGTTTATAAAAAAAATTACAAGAGCATTGTGTGTTGTATGCGTGAACCCGCATACTTGGTAATTGCGCCCTGCAGGTCCCAGGAAGTCATGGATCTCAGTGCACTAATACCTCTGTACAGTACTGTATTGACATGATGTCTAACTCATACAGACATTATTATTAATCATCATGAGTTGCCAAAGGGGATTGTTTGAAAAATGTTAATCCACCACCAAGCAAAAACCAAAAAACACCTTTTTCTCAAATTTCTAGCTTCCTTGAGAACCGATCCATGGCAGTTGTTGTCGAGGGATCGATCTCTCGCTTTTTCTCTACCAATAGTGGTGTCCCACAAGGTTCTGTTCTTTCACCTACTCTCTTCCTTCTTTTTATCAATGATTTATCTCACACTACAGTACGACTAATTCTATTCATTCTTATGTTGATGATTCTACTCTTTACTCTTTGCATTTTTCTCTTCCCCCTAATTCTCAAACTAGATCTGTTTCTAGAGCTGATATCATCTCATCTATCAATGCGGATCTATGCAGCATCTCCGAATGGGGAGGTAGAAACTTGGTTAAATTCAATACTGTAGTAATAAAACTCAGTATTTACCAATTACATTTTCCAAATTAGATAATCTACCACCAATTACATTTCAGGATGCAATCACTCTGCCATTTCTCAGAATAACTCCTTCTCATGAATCTAACATTAAAATTATTACAATTTTGAGTAGCAAAAGGTCAATATTCGGAAAATGTCACCAGGGATCTGAATATTGAGTCACATATGGTTAGATGGAGAAAAATAAATATAAATTATTTCTTCTATAACGTTTCTGTCGGAAATGTACAGTTTTGAGAAAATTTAAACATTTATTTTATTTTATAATATTTAGCAAGTCAGCGAGAGTATTTCTTTACGTCATAGTCATGTGCGCGAGTGTTTATGTGACGTAATACTCGAGTGACAATGAGCGTAACTTTCGATTCCCGATCAGTTTCAAGATGAATACTGTGTGTAAAGGCTGTACATTGGTCGATTGGTGCGTTATTCACAGTGTTTTTGAGAATGATGCAGCAGCCATAGATATTTTTGGGGCTCACAATGTTCTTGCATCGTCTGTAAAGTAACCACAATGTAAATCCCAGTGTCAGGATCATGCAGAATGACATACATAGTACTGTAATAAGAGTCAGACACTAGCAAAGCGAAAGAGATCTCGCTAATGTGGATTTAGTTTGTCTGCATTTAAGGACACTTGGCTAGAAAAATGCATATCCCACCATGGAATTTTTTGTATTGTAATTCATTCGTCAGGAAGCCCCTTTGTCAACGTTACATAACTAAAAATTTAGGTATAAGATCAGGAACTTTAGTTGATTGGAAAAGTTTTTGCTCGGAGGTTTGTGAACATTGGGTAAATAACCAGGAACCAATTGGAGGGCCTGGTATCATTGTGGAAGTGGACGAAAGTATATTTGGAAGGTCAAAATATAATTGTGGACGTCAGTTAACTGGAGTGTAGGTTTTGGGTGGAATTGAAAGTTAAATTTTTTTTTATTTTACCTGTTCCTGATAGAAGTGCTGAAACACTTATTCCATTTATAAAATGTTATGTTAAAAAAGAAACAATTATTCCCACAGACCATTGGAAGGCTTATGGTACCTTTAATGAATGTGGTTACTTTCATTAAACTGTGAACCAGTCAAGGGTCCGACTAATTACCCAAATGTAGCTGCAATTAAGTCAAATAATGGTCCTACATGAATAAATCGGACTGCTAATCACTTCTCGACTAGTATTTGGTGTCACAAAGTTAAAAAAAATTGGTAAACTTAATTTAGTCTGAGTTAATAGATCGAGTGCATGTACCTAACCTAACCTCGACTAGTATTTGGTGTCACGAAGTCACAAAAAATTGATAAACTTAATTTAATCTGAGTTAATAGATCGAATGCATGTACCTAACCTAACCTCGACTAGTATTTGGTGTCACGAAGTCACAAAAAATTGGTAAACTTAATTTAATCTGAGTTAATAGATCGAGTGCATGTACCTAACCTAACCTAACTTAACACAACTCAGATAAAATTAAGTTCACCAATTTTTGGTGACTTTATGACACCAAATAATAATCGAGAAGTGATTCACAGCCCAATCTAAGCTTGTAGGACCATCATTTGACTTCATTGCGACTACATTTGGGAAATTACTCGCTCCCTCGGTACATGCACGCGATCTATTAACTCAGATTAAAGTAAGTTTTCCAATTTTTTTTTACTTTGTGACACCAAATACTAGTCGAGAAGTGATTGGCAGTCCGATTTATTCATGTAGGACCATTATTTGACTTAATTGCGGCTACATTTGGGTACATTTGGGTAATTAGTCGGACTGCCAGTGAAAACTTTGTTGACCCCTCAAGTGGTGTCCATACTCAAACCATTGAAAGGCTTTGGAGTGATATTAAAACCTGGGTTCTGCATGTTGGAAACAAAAAAGAACATTAAGGTAAGTTATATCTTCACTATGCCTCATTTCCTACAGAAACATTAGAGAAGAACTACATTTTTTTGTATAACTATATATGACTCAATATTCAGATCCCTGGTGACATTTTCCGAATATTGACCAAGCTAAATACTATCATCTACTTATGCACACCTACAAGACACACCTTTACCAACTATTTACCTTTCCTTTTCCTTCTTCCACCACCGTCCTGATACTGGCATTCCTCTTGGTACAATTTTCACGTGACTGTTTTCATTTTTCAAATTATCATTTGTTACCTTAGTATTGTAATTAATTGGTGTCCCTTTCTCACCATTCCCATGTTGTGAGAGCTGAGTACTACCAGACTCACTTTCTTTCTCTTCGACAGCAACAGCTATATTTGTAGTGCTAGTAACCTCTCGGTCTTTGTTTTGTGTCTCTTCTGCCTTTCCATTTAAATTTGCATCTGAATTAGCAAGCATCATCTCATCTTCATTACTACTAAAAACATCTTCGTCTGTAGTTACAGTTGTAGAAACGGTTTCATCAGCGACCACTAACACATTATTTTCTGTGTTAGCTGAGGAAGATGTGCTGTAATTATTATAATTGCCGAGTTCTATATCCTCTTCAGACATGGAGTCCTTCTTTTCAGCTACGTTGTCAACATCCTCCAGCTCTTCAATTACACTTAAAGTATCTGGCTTTGAATTTGCTGTTATAATTCCTTCCACTTCATCTTTCTCTTTTTTAGACTTCACACACTTGGGTACTTTAGGATCACAAGCATTATCTTCTTCCTCATCAATTTCTTCAATCATTGGCAATATTTCCTCTCCTTCACTTACAGGTTTTTTGTCTAGCTGTGAGACAACATCTGTGTCACTTGGAAGTTCATACTCCAGGATCCCAACACCAGAATGTCGCTTAGATCGTCTAGTTGGAGTCTGTAATACAGGGGTATCCTGACCACCAGTAGAGCTCCTCCTTCTACGTTTGGAGGGTGTGCAAACTGTTGGTGTGTCCTGATTTGCTCCAGCACCTGACAGCCTCCCACGAGTAGTACGTCCTGTTGGAGTTTGAAGCCCTGGCAAAAGTGTGTCTTTGGTACCTGAAGTTCTCCTTGTACGATTTCTTGGAGTCTGTTTGGTTGACTCGAGGGTCTCTCCAGAATTTGTAGTCACCCTTGAAGGCTTGGTTGGCGTCTCACTTGACACATGTGGATTTTGAGTATCTGTAGATGTCCTCATTGTCTGCCTGGAAGGTAAGGGTGTCCCTGGAGGTGACAATTCCTTCAGATCAGTAGACAGTCTACGTGATCGTCGAGTAGGAGTCGCAATTCCCGAGGTTGACGAATCAGAATCAGTGAGTTTGTTACCCACAAGCCTGGGGAGACCTGTTGCCTTAGCAGGCATCTTGACGGTAGGCTCTTCAACTATTTTGTTCTTGCCAGTTTGAGTTTTAGATTTACTCTCTTTAACGCCATCTATAGTTCTCTTACGTGTCACTACCATGTTGAATTACAGTTCCCACGTTCTACAACACATAATATTACCACACTGCACTACTAACTCACGTGGACATTGACTGCCGCCGGGTCCCTTACCGCATGGACTTACTAGGTCCGTTTGTTTAAAAAAAAAATAATATTTTTTTTCATTACCAACAACAGATTTTATCATACATGTTATCAAAAAAATATGTATGTATTTATAGATAATAATATATAAATACAAAATGAATATTATTCATTTAAGAAACAAATATCCTAATGGAGACAGAAGATTATATAACCTGGTTATATGAAACTGAACATAAACATCAATAAAAGAATGCCTTAAACCGCATCTATTGAAATGTTTTTTTATATCTAAAACAATACATATATAATGATATACGATCCACGAAATACACTATTTTTTCAAATTTCTTAAAATTCTTCCTTTTACTAGTTGCTACATTATCAGGTAATGCCCCCCGAGTAGGTAATCACCCTGATTAGGCAGGAAGACACTGGCAAGGACACAACAACAGTTTTGTTTCATCCTCTTCACCACTGATTGGCTCGTTAGCCGCTTGGGCGATAGGTCACGTCTCTGATTACTTTTCCTTTTCTTTTATCCTCTTCGCCAAACGATCGGCTCGTTAGCCGCTTCGGCGATCGGTCACGTCTCTGTTACGCACTGTTGGCAAGTACTGGGCATGCACCGGCTCCTGAATGTACCTGAACCCACTCCAGTGTTGGTCAAGTCTTGTCTTGAAAGAGCTCACACTCTGTGCCGTCACAACACTTTCTGGTAGATTGTTCCAAGAGCTCGCAACTCTCACTTCGAAAAAGTTTGCCCTCACAGTTTTCTGGACTTGCGGCTTCTTCAATCTTGAGCTGTGACCCCTTGTGGGGCGAGCGTCCGCCAGCTCCAAGTAAGGACACTCGACTGAGTAGTGCCCCTTGAGATGCTTATACACCTCTATTAGGTCACCCCTTGCCCGTCTGTAATATAAGCTAGGCAAGTTCAGACACTCCAATCTCTCAGGGTAGCTGAGGCCACCAGTCTATTGGCCCTCCTTTGAACATTTTCAATCAACTGACAGTCCCTAGCATATCTCGGGGACCAGACGGGGTGACAGTACTCAAGATGGGGAAGCACTTCCCTCTTGAAGATCGTTACGAGGGACGGACAGTCTAGATATCTGAACGACCTTCTTATAAGACCCAATAATTTATTTGCCTGATTTACCTTCTTCTCGCAATGGCCCGAGAACTTCAGCTCATTGTCAACATACACACCTAGGTCCTTCTCACATTCAGTCTCAAATAGTGCAGTTTCCTCATCCCGTTGGGACATATGATACGCCTCCTTACCGTTGGTACGCCCCAGGTGCATCCTCTTACACTTCGTGACATTGAATCTCAGCAGCCATTTCTTCGACCATTCTTGGAGCCCACAGAGGTCCATCTGCAGTTCTTCACAGTCCGCTTGGTTCTTGATTTCCCGAAATAACTTGGCGTCATCGGCAAACATTTGTATGGAGGAGTGTACAACGTCAGGCATGTCATTTATGAAACAAACAAACAACAGCGGGCCCAATACACTGCCCTGTGGTACCCCGCTTGTGACAGGTAAGGTTGATGATTTCATGCCATTAATCATCACACACTGCTTGCGGTCATATAGAAAGTCTTCTATCCACGCTAGGACATTTCCCCGAATTCCGTACTCTTACAGTTTGATTTTCAGCCTTTCGTGGGGTACACTGTCGAAAGCCTTGGCAAAATCTAGGTAAATATTGTCGATATTACCACCCCGTTCCAGAATATGGGTCCAAATATCCAATACTTTGAGCAATTGTGTTAAGCAGGAGCGCCCGGCATAAAACCGTGTTGGCAATCCTTTACATAGTGGTAGTGATAACTTTTAATCCAATTTCTTCAGCAGATTCAGGTTGTATATTGTGATCTCCAGAGTTTAGTGAAACGAGAATAAATATCCAACAGCAAAGCATAAGTTGGGGTGTTGTGCTGACTGATTGCTCTGTTCTCCTATTGGCTGTAATTTTATGACGTCACATCTTACTCCACCAATCACGTTTAAGTAAGGGATTACTGGACGAATGCAAAATGTACGATAAAAATATGAAGTTCTTGGGGTAAAGCTGCATGTGGAAGGGCCCCTGGGGGCGCCGTCGCCCCTGGCAGAGACCCTGCCGCCCCTGGAAAGACACCCACTGCCACTAGGAGGGCGCCACTGCTCCCAGGGACCCTGCCAAGGCCTGTGGCTCACAATAGGTCCTCCTAGGGGAGGCGGCGCCCCCAAAAAATGGATAATGGTGTCGTACATATTGCATTCTTTCAGTAATCTCTTACTTAACTGTGATTGGTGGAATAAGAGGTAGCGTCATCAAATTACATCCAATAGGAAAACAGAGCAACCAGTCAGCACAACACCCCAACTTATGCTTTGCTGTTGGATATTTATTCTCCTTTTCATTGTTCAGGTTGCGATAATACTGAAAATGCTATGGGCAGTGTGTATTTTATTTAACATCATATCTCCCAGAGTTTAAAATAATAGTGAACGAGACTGATTGCTCTGTTCTCCTATTGGCTGTAATTTTATGATGTCACATCTTACTCCACCAATCACGTTTAAGTAAGGGATTACTGGACGAATGCAAAATGTACGACAAAAATATGAAGTTCTTGGGGTAAAGCTGCATGTGGAAGGGCCTCTGGGGGCGCCGTCGCCCCTGGCAGAGACCCTGCCGCCCCTGGAAAGACACCCACTGCCACTAGGAGGGCGCCACTGCTCCCAGGGACCCTGCCAAGGCCTGTGGCTCACAATAGGTCCTCCTAGGGGAGGCGGCGCCCCCAAAAAATGGATAATGGTGTCGTACATATTGCATTCTTTCAGTAATCTCTTACTTAACTGTGATTAGTGGAATAAGAGGTAACGTCATCAAATTAAAGCCAATAGGAAAACAGAGCAACCAGTCAGCACAACACCCCAACTTATGCTTTGCTGTTGGATATTTATTCTCCATTTCATTGTTCAAGTTACGATAATACTGAAAATGCTATGGGCAGTGTGTATTTTATTTAACATCATATCTCCCAGAGTTTACGATACGATACGAAGTCTTTAGTTAAGAGGTGAAAGAAGATTATTAGGAGTTGAAGGAAAAGTGGTGAAACTGAAATTCAGTAGGAGTTGAAAGAATCTGGGCTCAACCAGATCCTTCATCTTTCTTATTGGTGTTTTGTCTTTGTTCTGCTCCCTTGGGTCGTCAGACCTTTGTATTAATATTGGTTTATTTATATAATGCTGCTTATTATTATTATTTGTTATTGTTGGAGTTAGTGAGCCTGCCCAGGTCCTGTGTAACTGGGAGGGTAGTCACATTTTTTTTTTGAGGTGTTAGTTATGTTAGTTGTGTTAGTCTAAAGGTACACTGTATGGAGAGGCCTGCCAGGTTCTAGTGGAGCTGGTTGGTCACTCTCATCTTTATTCCTCTAGTAATGTTTTATGTAGAAATGTGTATGTTGAGGCAGGAGGTGGTTCAATTACTTCTTCCTGGCTGATATAGCTGGGAGGGTAATCACATTATTATTATTAATATTATTAATATATATATATATATTTTTGAGTAGGAGCCCGCCTAGGTCCTTGTGTAGCGGAGGGTAGTCACATTTTTTTTTTTTTTTTTTTTACTAAGATGTTAGTTCAATGTTAAATGTTAAATGTTAAATATTAGTTATGTTAGTCTAAAGGTACACTGTAATGGAGAGGCCTATCAGGTTCTTGTGAGCTGGTAGGTCACTCTCATCTTTTATTCTCTCATTAATGTTTTATATGTATATTGGGGCAGGAGATGGTTCAATTCTTTTCCTGGCTGATTTAAACCAACTGTGTTCTGGAATTCTTCGTTGTCTATATTATTTATCCAGTTTTGATATGTTTCTGTGTTAAGTCAGTCACTTTTTTCCAAATATTTACAGCTTTGTTTGTATATTTACATTGATTGCCAAGAGGTTTGCTCTCTTGTGTAGCTGTTCATTATTGATGTGGTCTGTATATTTTATGTTATATATAAATCTGAGGGCTATATTTTGTACTGTTTGTAACCTTTAATGCACGTTTTACTAAGGGTGTTCAATGGGATGGGTGGGTAGTCCATAATTGATTTAACAAGGGCAATATAAATCTTCTTTTGTTATTAATGCTAAGGTTCTAAAGCGTTTTATTTTTGATAATCTTATTCTTGCCTGTCGTTCTTATCTTTTAAGTATGTTATATATCCCTTTTTGTTAGTTTTAATCCAAGCATCCTACCTTCAGTGTCGTATGGGTATAGTTCCTGTCGACTATCACTGGACTTGTTTTAATCTTGGCTATTGGTATTATCTTGAATTTGTTCTTATTTGTCCTGATTTTCCATTTTTTCTCAAAATCATTTATGTTTTTATCGCTCTTACCGTGTAGAGTGCCTCTGTTAACTCGATGTTGGGATTCCATGTTTTGTTGTAGTGATAACTTTTAATCCAATTTCTTCAGCAGATTCAGGTTGTATATTGTGATCTCCCAGAGTTTAAAATAGTGAAACGAGAATAAATATCCAAC